AGTTGTCCTTTTTTATCTTACATTGTATTTTCCATTATATGTTTTCTTTTCCTATCCCTAGTCACTTGGTAGAATGTGTTTAATAAAATTGTCGGATACAAAAAAAAAGATAATAATAAAAAAATACTATGAAAGATGATAATAATAATAATAATAATAATAATAATAATAATAATAATAATAATAATAATAATAATAATAAGCCAGTTAAAAATAAATAAGTTTTCTACGAAAACGTTTTTCAAGAAAATATCAATTCCGTTGGTAATTCGTAGGTAGTTTAATGATAGAATTACCCATAAAATTGCGCGGTCGGTAAATTAGTTACATGTTACCGAATAAAACAAATTTCGCAATAGGGTTTTTTTCGGTCAAAAATTCCCTACTATGTAAAAATTTCAAATGAGGTTTTCCTTGATAATTTCTTTAAGTAGAAAAATAACTTGTGGTGTGTATGTGAATATATGTGTGTACTACTCTTAACCCAAATAAATGGGTTAAATTTCATTTAATGCTCATGTAAATTTCTTTTGATAAAATAGAATGTTTCTTTTTTAAGTTTTGTTATATAAGGAAGAAAATAAATTTTCTAATCACATGAATTCTTGTTTTAAGATTATGTAAAACCTTCTATTCAAATATCACGACATAATTTTCCGTCAAACACATAACCCCACATCAAAATAAGTCTTCTACATAATTATAACAACATACAACTGACAACAATCCTATCTTTATCGCAGTACTTCAAAAGGACATATTAATTTTCCATAAACTTGTTAGAAGGTTATTAAAATGATACGTTCCATCACATTGACATATGAAGTGATGAAAATGTGACTAGGCTATAGAAGAGGCCGAATAGGAAAGTGATTCCTAAAATACAGATACTTGTTATATATGTTGAATTTGAACTTGTTGATATGTGAATTGTTTGAAATGCATGCTAGTGGATAGGCTAAGGATTCCTTCAGGAACTATATGATAGTATTGCCTGATTTCTATGATGCCTTGGCCTAAGGAATTTATTGTTATATGCTATTTGATTATATTGATTGCTAAGTGTGTGTTGTATAGTTGCATACAGTTAGGATTACATAGCCTTAGGATAATTTACGTGGCCTTATTTTCTATTCCTTGTTTGGTCATTTATTCGATAGTCTATCTGATCATGTATTGTGTACAACAAGCATGCACAAAGCAAACAGCAGTGCAGAAGCCTGATTGAGGAGAATCCTAGGAGGAGCGCCTAGGAAGTTAGTTGCAGCTCTTAGTAGCATATGGGTGTTAGTACACCTAGGGATGGTCTAGTGTAGTGATTGTAACATCTTGTTCTTCTAGGTATTTACCCTTTTCCCCCTTAATATATGATTATTTGCAAAGTGACCCTTTATGGCATTTTCATATTTTTGGGGTCAGCATGGGTACGATGGGCGTACCTCGTCTCGCGTGAGTACGCTGAGCGTACACTAGTACGCAGGGCGTACGTGGCTTGGACCAAACCCTAATATTTAGGGTTTGTGCACTATTTAAACACCCTTATAGCCCCAAAACCATTCCTTTTATCCTCCTCCATCCCTCATATTGCCCCCCTTGCAAACCCAACGTGGTGAAGGGCTTGCCACGTCGTGATAGTACTATGATGATCGATTGTTTTGTCCTTAGCTGGCCACAACGTAACCAAGAGCTTGCTATGTCATGGGGAGTCGTTGGCTGTCGACGTTGACTTTGTTGACCTTTAACAGTTGAATTTGTTACTAGTTTGACTTTGGGTCAAACTTAAAGGAACTGAGTTATTGATTAAGGTTCTACCTTGGTTTGGTGCTAGTCGGTTTGTGAGATTAATCAGTACAGGGAGGGAGCGTGTTGTTGTGTTTCTCGGGTCTTCGATTGAGGTTTGTTTCCTCATTATATTATGTATTGCAGTGTGTATCCTTGTACGTTAGGATATATGAGTATGGGTGTACTGGGTAGAGTACCAGAAGGATGGTGACCGTTTAGTGGAGTGCCTTAGGGGCTATATGTAGTCACGTAGGATTGCCTGAGAACTATTGATCTAGGATTTCTTGCCTATTCCTTGTTTGGTTGTGGCTATCAGTTCTTCGGATGTCTATCTCACCTCTGGTAACATATAGCTATGCATTCCTTGGAAATTTTTCGGTTGTGGGGTAACGTGTGGTATGAAGCCTGGTGTCCAATAATGAGTTGGTGGATAGGTAGACTATGGTAGATAGTTGCCAGTGCTTATGTGTTTGCTTGATTGCTTGCTTGTTTTATATTTCAACATATTGTAGTGTGCTTGGGTTGAGGCGATACTGCTTTATGTTGTAGGCCATCAAACCCGGGAGCAATCTAGTCTTATGTTGTGGGACCGGGAAATCCAGTCATAAGCTCTGGGATCGGGAGCAATCCAGTCTTATGTTGTGGGTCGGGGGTAATTCAGTCACAACTTGTGGGCTCGGGGCAATCCAGTCTTCGTGTTGTGGGCCAGATGTGCATGCATCATATGAATATTATGATGTGCGGTATTTTAGGAGAACTTACTATGCTTTGGCTTACAGTTGTGGATTTAATGTGTTTTAGGTACCCGTAGTGATCGTGGGAAGGAGAAGACGTGACTATACACATTCATCAACAACTATGGATATTCTCAGATGTTCATATTACTCTTATTTTAAACAAATGTATTTTAGAACAAATGATTTTCTTAACTTGGATTTTATGAACATGATGTTTTACCATAATAAAAAATGAAAATTTTTATTGTCAAAATGGGAAGTTACAATTTGGTATCGGAGCCCTTGTTTAATGGATTTGGAGGAAAACTTGTGTGAATCCAAACTCAAACCAGGATCCAAGAATTTTCACAAACGTTTTTGAAAAAGAAATTTTAATAAGACAGTTGGGTTAGAGACGTGGGATCTGTCTCTTGCCATGCTATTGTTTGATTGTTGGCTTGGTATCGTGAACATGGACATTTGACTCGACCTTGGTTTTACATGGAGATGTGATGTGTATAGTCAGCCAGAGACCCAATAGGAAAGTGATTCCTAAAATACAGATACTTGTTATATATTTTGAATTTGAACTTCTTGATATGTGAATTGTTAGAAATGCATGCTAGTGGATAGGCTAAGATTCCTTCAGGAACTATATGATAGTATTGTCTGATTTCTATGATGCCTTGGCCTAAGGAACTTCTTGTTATATGCTATTTGATTATATGGATTGCTAAGTGTGTGTTGTATAGTTGCATACAGTTAGGATTACATAGCCTTAGAATAATTTACGTGGCCTTATTTTCTATTCCTTGTTTGGTTGTGGGATTAGGTTAGAGTCATTTATTCGATAGTATATATGATCATGTATTGTGTACAACAAGCATGCACAAAGCAAACAGCATGGGTAAAAGCCTGATTGAGGAGAATCCTAGGAGGAGCGCCTAAGAAGTTAGTTGCAGCTCTTAGTAGCGTATGGGTGTTAGTACACCTAGGGATGGTCTAGTGTAGTGACTGTAACATCTTGTTCTTCTAGGTATTTACCCTTTTCCCCTTAATATATGATTATTTGCAAAGTGACCCTTTATGGCATTTTCATATTTTTGGGGTTAGCATGGGTACGTTGGGCATACATGTTGGTACGTTGGCCGTACGTGGTCTTGCGCGAGTACGCTGAGTGTACACTAGTACGCAGGGCGTACGTGACTTGGACCAAACCCTAATATCACTACTAGAAAAACAGCCTTTTACGACGCGTAATGTGTGTCGTAAAATGCTCAGACGACGCGCAAATGCGTGTCAAGGAAGGCCCTGTCATAACGAGAGACGACACGCTTTTGCGTGTCGTCTATAGACAACGCGCATTTACGACGCGCATTTATGACACGCATTTACGACGCACATTTATGACGCGCAATGCGTATCAAGGAAGCCCCTGTCATAAAGGAAGACGACACGCATTTGCGTGTCGTAACCTTACGACGCACGTTTAGGACACGCATTGCGTATCATTCAAGCCCCTGTCATAAATGAAGATGACACGCATTTGCATGTCATAAACTTCAGCAACCATTTACGATATACATTTACGACGCGTCTTTACGATACTCATTTACGCATAATACAAAAATATGGAAACAAATAGATACCAAAACAATCAATTTCATCCATAACATGATGTCAAAAAATTGTAATACATTGGTATTAAGGGGATCCGATTGTACATTTTTATTAAGAGGTTTTCCCTAACTATATAACCTAATACTACATTGCTATTAAGGAACACCTTGTTTCTACTTCCTATTGTAATGCTTCTGTTTCCACATGATACCTGTTTTCATTATCAACACAATAGTATTCAGAAAGGCTTCAAGCATCATCAATCTATGTTATAAAATATTAAAATTTAATACACATGTAGTAACATACCTTTTTCCAAGAATCCAAGCTTCAATACAGCCCATACCTGTATAAAAATTGATTAACAATTTAAGAAATATATAATTAACAATCACTATGCACCAAGTAAATCTACAGTCAACATCTTAGCTAGTTTCTTCTTGATTTTTTTATTTAAGGTCCAGACATCAAATTTTTTTTAAAGGAATTCCACTTTGAACAGGTTGTGAGCATGCTATAACAATTGATTAACATAGTACATTGCTATTTCCTTCAACAGGTTGTGAGCATTAAAGAAGCTTTTGAGACAAGCATGAGACTGACAGTTGTATATATATATATATATATATATATATATATATATATATATATATATATATATATATATATATATCTATATATATATAGAGAGAGAGAGAGAGAGAGAATATTTCCGTAAATTTGGCTATAAAGAAAATAAAATAAGAATTGAAGTTGATAAAGTTATAGTTTACAAACCCGAAAGTTCCTGCAACATCTGTGCAAGTTATATGAGATGAGGTGGTTGAACCCCACTTTGCAAGCCCAATAAAATATTTCTTGCCTCGTTTGCGAAGCTCTTTCCTAGCTAGCCATTCTCCCCTTCCATCTACAAGAACATATATCAGTTCTTGCTTATTAAACTTTTATTAGAGAGAGAGAGAGAGAGAGAGAGAGAGATTTTAGTGGTGTTTACATCTTGCATTTCAGAAGGCAGAACACGAGTGCCATGTGGTGTTTACATCTTTAGTATAAGTGTATAACCCATTAAGTCATTTTGTGATTTTGTCCACATTAAGTCAAAAAGGAACAACCATGCCATGTATAGTTTGTTCAGATTAAGTGATTAACTCATTAATACTTGTGGGTGGAAAGCGGTTGCAATGTTAGCTACATGAGTGCCATGTGGCGAGCTATCAGTAACTATACTAAAAATAGCACCTTCATTAATTGTAAACATTGGTCACGAAAGTACACGCGTCTAATTTGTTAAATACATCGTACTTTCATTCAATCCTGAAAAATAAATTGGCAATATATGTATGTATAAAATAGAAATTAAAATAAAATATGTGAAGAAGGAATGTATACTTAAACTTAGTTAGGGGGAAAAAATCAGAAATTTTTCCACATTTTGGATCATCCTCGAGACTTTGTGTGTCAAGGGCAACCCTCCAGACTTTTCCATCATGCCATACAACAACATCAATAACAGGGCCCTTGTCTTCATAGCTCTAACACATGTAAAGAACAAGTAAATAAGTACAACTACATACCAATAAGAATAAAAAGAATAACTTTAATCAAAGAGATATAGCACTCACATGTGAAATCAACTCTATCTTGTAGGTCTTCACGAGTACTTTTTGAAATCAACTCAACAACTTTTGTTTGCTTCTAAAGATAGGGGAAACTTGTTAGATTTTGGAAAAGGGCAGATTTGTAAATATGAGAATAAACTTGGACAACCTTGTCAAACTGTTCAAGTTGCTTCACAGCTTCGGCTATTGTTTCTTGATTCTTTTCATTCCATTTTGTCTTTCTTTCTTTCTGTTTCAGATTACAAATTCACATGCATAAAAAATCTAAGAAACCGGTTTGATAACTTCCAAATGAGCATATGAAATGTTGCTTTTCAAATGACATATAAAGTAGAGCCCACCTTCAAACGAGTAATGAGTGTGTATGTAAGAACCTCATACACTAGTTTATATCCCACATGCCAGTCTCCAGAAAGATTACTCCAAGAAGGATTTATAATGAGATATGCCCCTAATATGAAATCATAAGTAAAAAATTAAGAAAGAAATATTCAACAAGCAATTAGTGATTAATCATCTAAATCAATATAAGACTACAAACCTGATGCTCCACGAATGCAATTATTTGCATCAGCCTTGACAACAGTTGATGTATAGTGAGTTATCCTCCTGTATCAACTTTAAAACTGGCTGAACCAGTTTTGCAGCATGTGAAGTTCCATCTTTCTTCATATTTGGAAACCCACCCAACCTAGTTAACAGGGAAAATTATCAGATCTTATTGCATAACTAAACCATCAGCTCCAATTTGTGTGTGGGCTTAAAATCTATAGGAACCAAACTTATTTAATTTATTGATAGAAAATGGACTATAGTATATAAGACAAAGCTTTATTAAAAAAGAACAACTTAACCATACTTACAGAGTATGTAATAGTCACTTTCAAGAGGGGATTGAATCTTCCCCAGGGTGTTAAACATATGGGTAAATTCGGAAAGTACAATTTGACGTGTTGGAGTTGTCCTTTTTGATCTTACGTTGTATTTTCCATTATATGTTTTCTTTTCCTATACCTAGTCACTTGATAGGATGCGTTTAATAAAATTGTCGGATACAAAAAAAAGATAATAATAAAAAAATATTATGAAAGATAATAATAATAATAATAATAATAATAATAATAATAATAATAATAAGCCGGTTAAAAATAAATAAGTTTTCTATGAAAACTTTTTTCAAGAAAATATTAATTCCGTTGGTAATTCGTAGGTAGTTTAACTATAGAATTACCCATAAAATTGCGCGGTCGGTAAATTAATTACATGTTACCGAATAAAACAAAATTCGCAATAGGGTTTTTTTCTGTCAAAAATTTGTCCCTACTATGTAAAAATTTCAAATGAGTTTTTCCTTGATAATTTCTTTAAGTAGGAAAATAACTTGTGGTGTGTATGTGAATATATGTGTGTACTACTCTTAACCCAAATAAATGGGTTAAATTGCATTTAATGCTCATGTAAATTTGTTTTGATAAAATAGAATGTTTCTTTTTTAAGTTTGTTATATAAGGAAGAAAATAATTTTTGTAATCACATGAATTCTTATTTTAAGATTATGTAAAACCTTCTATTCAAATATCACGACATAATTTTCCATCAAACACATAACCCCACATCAAAATAAGTCTTCTACATAATTATAACAACATACAACTTACAACAATCCTATCTTTATCGCAGTACTTCAAAAGGACATAGTAATTTTACATAAACTTATTAGAAGGTTATTAAAATGATACGTTTCATCACATTGACATATGAAGTGATGAACATGTGACTAGGCTATAGAAGAGGTAATAGATGATGAAAACTACCATGGTCCATTTATTAAATCATCATCAAGTTCATCAAGAAGATTCACGGTCATATCAAGAAGATACTGTGTTTCATCTGTAAACATATCACTTTCCATGGCTGTACGTTCAATCCCATCCACCAATCCAAGAGAGTTGAAAGGTGGCAATGTTTGTGCTTGCCTGTTATTTTCGTCACTGGGAAAATGAGGATTAGAATAACCAACACTTCCAACTCCAAATGGATATAAATTTGAATTAGAAAAGTTCGGGTTTGTGGAATGCCCCACATCATCATGATCAGTTGGTATATGTAGAAATGTTGGAGATAAATTCTCATTTTTTCCTTGCAAATCTTGAGAGTGAATAAGATAGTTATGATTTGATGAAGCTGAAGTATGACCACCATTGGAATTGATCATCCCAAACACATTTGATATCTCGCGCATCTCAAGATCATAGTTTTCTCCACCAAGTGCAAAACCCTCTAATGGTTGCAACCCAGTTCCTAAACCATAATACGAAGGTGCCATTCCAGAGACCGATTTCTCTATTGAAGTTCCTGAATAATTTAGCGGTGTCAGTGAACTAGTTGCATCTACTGGAGCCACAACTTCACCAAAATCCATCGGGGTCATTGCTATAGTTTCACCATCCTTTAGTGGCCCCGTTGTACTTTCATAAGTATCTGTTGTCATTTGAACTTCATTTCTTTGACCAATAATACTGTTACAGCTTTCAACTAATCCAAAAGTAATGATCTTGCTTGTTTCACCCAATGAAGTATGACAAAAACTATGATCTGTTGATTGATCACTATAAGAGTTATTAATGGTGGTTTTTGGTTGTGGTACAGGTAACGGAGGAGCTCTTTGCAGTCGAGCCTTGATGTTGTTTATGGTCATGTAAGACATTCCTATAGAATTAAGCGTCAATGGTGGCTGGATGTTACTGGATTGAGGGATGGATTCATAATCATTAGTTGGGGTCGATTGCCCACATCTGTTGTAAGCATATCTCTCTACTTGCTTTTTCTTTTGTGGTATCAAGGTTGGTTTCTTGATACTCTTTTGATGTTCTTGGTATTTCTGAAAGTATAAAATATGGAACATTCCCATCATAACCAAATAAGAATAAGAGCCTGAAGTTGGAAACTAAAAAACTTGCAATAGTGAAGGAAAAGCAGTAGAAATATGGAGATGAACATATAAGTAAGTTACCTGTAGGTGGCTCGCGATCTGACTACGTGTGAGTCCCGGAACATTCATCGCTTCTAGAATTGCAGAAGGATAAGCTTCTGTAAACATTAAATCATGTGAAATAGAACAATTAATAACAAGTAAAATAAATAGTTCCAAAATAACAAAAATGTAAAAAAATACTATATATTGACTTCAAAATTAGTTAAATGAAATACTCAAGAGGATGTGTGGATATATATACTATACTTTGTTTCCCAAGTGTATTGATTGCCTCAACAAACTTTTTGTGAAGAACACTCGTCCATGAAATCCGCTTCTTGGTATCAAATATCTTTTTATAATATTTGTCATCCTCAACAAGTTGGTCATTTGTTCTCTTATGCTCATGAATATGTTCTTTATCATGATCATTGCCTCGTACTTCCTCATATGTAACTGGCTTAAACATGGCATTATACTCCAGTGAATTAATGTTTAGTCCTTCTTGAGTGACACCTTCTGATGATAAGTTGTTATTGATAAATTTGGGGTTGAGATTTGTTGATTGCTTAACTACCTGATCAACCCTCTTGAAGATGTTGGGCTCTTGGTTTTCTTCAGGTGATTCTCCATTTGAGTAGTTACATCCTTCAAATGATATTATCTTTCTACAAACATGTTTCCAAATATTGCAAATCTCCTTATGACCACATGGTTTTGGGAGATATAAAACCGCCTCATTTTCTACAATTTCCTTAAGGAGTCGCATGTGAGTATTATGGGAAGCCATCACTACATAAGGTTTTAAAGAGTTGAAGAAAATATATGTTAGTGAGAATTGAAATATATGTGGATTAAGATGTCGTGTGTATGTCAAATTTCCAACTAATCAAAGTATAAATTTAACTCTTACTAATTATAGATAAATGAGGTTGATGCTTAAAAGTTTGATGGAGAAAATCCACCATATCCATTTCACTTATGTCAGCATCTATCAAGACACAGTCATACAATTCTCCATTCAGTATCTTTAACAATCCTGTAGCCACTTCAGATGTGGTTGTAACTGTAAAAAAACACATGATAGTTTAAATATACAGTCTGAAAAGGCATTACAAGCATGTTAAGTTATGATACACTAAATAGTTTTAGAAAGTTACTTAGGGGAACTAGTCTTGTTTTCTATAAAATTATATTCTTTAATAGACATATCATTAGAGGGGAAAGACCAACATTGCGAAATGAACATGTTGGTTATAATTTAATAATTTCTTATCACTGTTTTATATTAGCCCCAACCTTTATAGTAGCACTTCTCTACCGGATGTTTCGACCCACTAAAACTCTAACTCTTCCAAGATGCTTTTCCAATATTGAGAAGTCGTCTATCCAACTAGCGGGATAGCCCTGGCATTTTTTCAATGCATCTCCTTTCGAATTATTTTATGTTAACCTAGCATTTCGAAACAAATAAATCCAGCCAAACATGGGTATTGTGTTCTTTGCCAATAGAAATCTTATTTGTTGAAAATTGACCTAAAAATTTTGTCCAGTGGTCCTTGTGATTTCATTAAATTCTTGTGAACTATAGGCAAAGCAGCTTGGAGAGGCATCTAGAGATAACTTTTTGAACTATGGTTCAAACGACTTGACTAATTCTAGTGAGAAAGGAACCGAAAAACTTGGAGGTATCATGGGGAAACATTGATGGATCTAGCTGATTTGAACTCAACATCATGAGAAATCGACCATACAACTTTGAGCGTTTGGCGATTAAAAACATCATTTTTTACTCATTTGAGTTAAGAGAGAGTGTGATAAAACCCTAAAAAATCGCTCCTTCAATTTTCTCTCATTTCCTCCACATTATACCTATCCACTTGTATTTATACTATTTCCTTGCATGATAAATATTATTATCCCTAGTGCATCTCTTTGTAGTCTCCTTCGTCCTTGGGGTTTCCCGATTTGGTTTTTCCACGTAAATCTCAGTGTTTTATCTTTAATCGTTAGTGTTATACTTATTATTGTTAATTCTCGTTATATATTAGTAATAACCTTTGATTAGAAATATTATTATTAAATTATCGAGTCAACTGAATCATCTGAATCGATCGGGATAAACCCTAGTTGTGCCAATATTTGGTAAAGTTTTTATTGTTCTTTGTTCATTAATTATTATGAGAAGTTACTTTTAGTGGACGAAGGTTGTGATATTATAATTTACAATCATGTCCACCCTAAGTAAAACCTACACCTATGTAGAGCATGTAGAACAATTATAAATCTCTCTCACTAAGTTTTTTTTTTTATGCAAACCAACCTTATTGAAGTTACGTAACAAAAATTTTCTAATGGTTGGTTAGTGGTTAAAACTTAAATTCATTAAATTAGTTAATTCGCATAAACCACGACCACAAATCTAAGAGGTTTTCACCTCTATCAAGTGGGCTTGTCCCACATTAGCTTTTAGCAGCTAAGGATCTTGAATTGAAAAAGATTTTGAAATTGAAAATGCTCTTAATAAGTCATTTAACTTAACTAAGCTTGTTTTACCCTAAAATATTTTGAAAAAGTTCATATGTTTAATGCTCTTATTTCGGAGAATTAGTTCCACAACCCATTTATAAACACATTTTTTATACCCAAAAGCGGTTGCTTTTTATATTAATCAAAGAGATAGCTTATTTTTTTTCTTGGATTTGTGAAAAATATCATTTATGCATTTCGGATGTGAAAAATTGCAGATTGATCCTTTTTTTTAGAATTTATGAATAGTTTTTTTTTCTTCATTTCATATATATGCACAATCAACAAAATAATTAATTCACTTTCATCAAAATCGAAAGACAAATAAAAAAAAATGAGATATTTTTTAATAATGTAAAAAAACTTGAAAAAAACTAGTAATCACCGTATATGAAACCAGTAAAATAATATTTTCCATACCTTTTTCTAATAAACTATTTATCCGAATCTAAATCTTGTAAATCTATCATCTATCGGAAATACTAGTGACACATGTAATGTCTTTATATTCAAAAGACCCTAAGACTAGATCGATTAATCATATTACCAATTGACTGAAGAAAGACAACGGAGTGAGATGGATGGAGAAAGAAACTCAAACTAGCTACCATGATAATTGATTAGAGCTATAGGAAAGAATGTATCCATGATACTCCAAAGAACTTTTTTTCAGGTTCAACCAAAAACACTTGAAGACCACAAAATCTTTTTGGTATAAGTACGATGAGCTCTAAGCTATGAATCGTCATTTTGAGCAATGTGGACAAGGTATAAATTTGGAGCAAGAGAACTAGTGAGGCCCTAAAAAATAGGTTTATTATGTGCTTTATGGATCATAAAGTGAACCAGTATACATAGTACCGCCTAAATACATTGGCTACAAGACAAGCGATATTTTTGTGGAGACCAAAATTTCGATAATCGAAGGGTTAACTATATATTTTTAGGTATTAGTATATAAAATATTTGAATTCTTTTTCATAAATTAATTAAGATCGATAATTTTTCATATATCAATTTGGAAAGTACATGATTCTTTTTCTTTATGTAACACTGGCTTCTGTGGAATCCGATTTACATATACTAAAATCGGACAAAGCTCTCTATATGAAGCAACTAGAACATTTGTTGAATGTATTTCTATGACGACATAAATTGTGAAGCATGCGAGAGATTGAGGACCCAAGGAGTCATCAAAATGACTATCTAAAAAAAGTTAGCAATGAATTTGTAAAAAACTACTAAGTTGTGAAAATGAAATAAAAACATGCATTAAAAAAATATACAAGAGAACATTATGAAACAATATGTAAAAAGTTCTAAAAAAGTAAACTTGCAAATAAAAATTGACGTTTTATAAAAAATGAAAAGACTATGTTCAAAACAACATGAAAAAAAAGTGATTTCAAAAAATTAGTATTGAATGAAACAATTACCATAAATTCATATTTCTACTCTTATATCCAAACCTTAATAGAATTTGAAAATGCTTAGAAAACACAAACTCATATATGACAATAAGAAGAAGAAAAAAAAATAAATAGCCATCAACATTAAAAAATCTAAATAACTAAATTTATCCAAAAACTGAAGCCAGATATATATTAACTCATAATGAAGATGTAAAAAATCTAATATAGTTTTGAGGCAACCTTCAAGAACTAAAACCCTTGATTTATATTTGTTGAAACCTATTATTAGACATTTTCCATAATTATCTAATTCTATAGGTCATATGGACGATTCTACTTTCAGTTTATTTGTTATTTTCCTATTATGGTGTTCTTCCACCTTGTTTTTTATTTTAGATTTTCGATGATTTCTTTATTTGTTCACAACATAGTTGAGCACGTACCTGGTGAATTTTAAACTTGGAAGGTGGAAAAATATGTTTTCTGTCTGATTGCTACTACATAAGGACAATAAAGAACCTAGAATAGAAAAACACGTTTTTTCCTAATTAAGTGGAACCGACAAACACGAAAGAGTCATCAAATACTTGTAGCAGGCCGGGTCGGGTCGAATCAGTAAAAAATCGGTTGATTTGCGAAATCTCGTGTTGATTAACTAGAACGATTGAACATCTTAAGAAACAATAAAAATTGGCTTACTTGACACCTAAACCAGATTTTTGAATTTTTTTTTTACTTTGCACAACATCTGTTCTTATTTTAAAGAGTTCACTTGTAACAATTATTTCCTACAACAAGTAATGTGACAGGAGTTGTGTTGTTATTCAAACATTCTTATGTCCATTTACAATTCATTTTTATAACATCAAATAACTACATCTATTTATCTTAATCTCCGCTGTAGGATAGGATCTTAATAAACATTAACCATTTTGCTTTGCAAATTTAATTATAAACTCTCAACGATTTCTTTTATTATTTGTTTTTTATTTTCTCTAATAATATAAAAAATTGTTATTTTTTCAAGATATTTCCTATATAAATACTAAATAAATTAAAAAGTTTGGTGGGTGGACACATCTTGGTACGTATATGGTAGCTCCTCCCTTGGTATGTGTATAGTTACATACAAGACCCTAAACCCCTTAAATGTTTCTTTGGAGAACAAGATGCATGATAGATTAATTGCAAATTGCTAGACATTCATCAATTAGTTCATATCTAACAAGTTTCGATATATTTCTATTTCTTTTTGAGTAACTGGATTTTGGTTAGGAACATTAATCTTGAACAACTTGAAGTCCTTTAACTTTATTCAGAACAAAAGTGTGCAACAATCTTATTTAGAAAAAGGCTTTCACTCTCTTTTCAAACAAAATGAAAGCTTGTAAAATGTAAACCTAATGCCAATCAATAAGGTAATGGTCTCTTTTACAATGGAATTATAAACAAAACTTTCATTTTAAAAAATTGATTGATCAAACTAAATCGTTCAACTCAAAAATTGTCATAAATACTAGAGAGAGAGAGAGAGAGAGAGGTGTGCCTGTTAGTGTGTGTCAGTGTGTGTGTGTGTGTGAGAGAGAGAGAGAGAGTTTACCCCGATAAGAATAATGTAAAAGCATGTATGCATGGTGCTCGAGTGAACTTTTTTCAGATTCTATCAACAACACTCGAAGGTCACGAAATCTTTTTGGAACTACTGTGACATCAAAAGTAGTGATTGTCATTTTGATAAAGAAAGACACGCCATAAAATGGACGGATGGATGAATGAATGAGGTGAAGGAAATGGGATTAGGGATATTACAACAAGCCTATATTTATGGTGGCGGCTTGGGTGCGTGACA